AAATTTTTAAAATTCTAAAATATTTTTTCAAAAAAAGGGAAAAACCAGTTTTCAATAAAAATTTTTGGGTTTTTCCCTTTTTTTTTTAAAATAAAAAATTTTTAAGCCCCTTTTTTTAGACTTTATTTAAAAGTTTTTAAAATCTTATAAGAAAAAAAATTTTAAAAAACCCCCCAAAATCTTGGAAATTTCAAAAATTCCCTGTAAAAATTTCGAAAAATTTTTATTAGTAAAAGAAAAAAACCCTAAGTTTAAAAAACAAAAATTGCATTAGAAGGGCGTTTTAAAGTTATTTTTTTTTAAAATTTTAAATCCATGTTTTTTTAAAAAGTTGGAAATATATAAAAGTCCTGGGACAGAAAAATTGAATTTTTCAAAAAAGTTTTTGAAATAAATGAAATTTTTTCCTTTTTTAAAATAATTGATCCATTTATAAAACCCCCCTAATAGAGCTAAAGGTTTCGAATGTTGATGATATTTTTTGTCTTATCCAAAAAAATGTAGTATAACCTTTTCCCTTGGCAAATAAAATACTTACCCCATTCAAAAATTTTTACTGTTGAATTTAAAGAAAATAACCATTGCCTTTTCTGATATTTTAATTATTGAGGGTAAAAGAATTCAAATTTAAATTTACAAAAAACCAAAAAAATAACTTTTCCCTATGTCCATTTTTTCTTCCATAAAGAAGATTTAAAATTTTGTTTTTCATCAATTTTTTTTGAAGTTTTACGAATTTGAGCCAGAGTTCATAACGAGGAAATATCCAAAATTTAAAAATAGGTAAGATTTAAAATACCCAAAATGAAATTATAAATCTTTTTAAAATTGCTAGAAATATTTTTTACAACCCAAAAAGGAACAACCAGCCTTATTCAATAAAAAATTTTGGTTTTTCCTTACCAGAAAACTTTTATATCCCTTCTCTTCTTTAGACTTTTAATATTAAAGTTTATTCAAAAATTTGATACAGTAAAAAAATTTTTGATAAAGAATTCCCCCCAAAATGCTGATGGATGTTTCTATAAGATCCTTGAAAAATTTGCGATAAAGTTTATTACGGTAAAACTGGTAAAAACCCTCAAACTAAGATTAAAACAAAAAATATACATTAGAACTGACAAGATTCCAATGCTCTATTTATTCATGTAAGAGATTTTAACCATCCAATTGATTTTCAAAAAGTTGAGAAAGTAGTATCAAGGAAGTCCATGGTCGACAGGAATATAATTGAATCTTGCTTCATAAAAAGCAGTTTTGACAATAATATGAATATTTCATTTGGTTTATATAAATTAGATCCATTTATAATTAAATAGAATTTGGGAAGAATTTAATAATACATTGGACAAATAATAATTTTTTAAATTTCTTTTATTTATTGGGTAGAATAGTTTGTTGGTGGGTTGTAGAAGGACCTGTCTAGTTCGGCCGGCGGGCCTGCTGTCTCGCGTCAGGTGTTCGTTGTTGGTGGGATCTGATAGTGGAGTGTGGGGCTACCCTTTATATACCTTTCCTTTGATGCTTTGCTTTCATTGTTCCTTGATAATGTGAGTAGTCACAAAAGCGCTTGGAACTTCTCTATTCTTTCACAGAATATATATATAAATATATATATAATATATAATATAATATATATATATATATATATATATATATAAATATAATTACATGTAAGATGTATATAGTTCTACTGTCTTCCAATTTATGTCCCTGAATTTGTATTGAAAAAAAAGTCACTGGATGGCGAAACGTCTACAATAAAGATACCCAGATGTTGCATATGTGTCTAATTTTCATCTTGTCGGTATTGTATACCATTCAAGTACATCTTAGCTGGTAGTACATGTCAGGAAAACCATCTTGCATAATGAAATTTGATGGAGTATTACAGTATAAAGTCAGGTTTCCACTAGCCCTTCGTCGTGTGGAAATTCTGAAGGGCCTTAGTAGATTGCTATTTTTCTTTTGTTATTGTGGTTTAAGTAAAACACAGTCGACGACAGTAAAGACAGGTGATGCAGAAAAAATCTTAATGTAGACGAAATGGTTTAGAAAGACAGGTGACCAGACACTAAGAAATATTAGGAATTTTTTCGGGTCTTGGACCTTGATCACTTCGGTCCCGGGACTGAAACGTTTTCTAATATGTCCTAGTGTTTGCTTACGTGTCTTTCTAAACCAGAAAAAGTCTTGTTAGATAAAAAGGACACAAGTAAAACTAATGTGACATTTTACTTGGCAACGTTTCGCTCTCCAGGAGCATCGTCAAGCTTGACAAAGTGTCACATTAGTTACACCTGTGTCCTGTTACCTTACATATTTTCGGTAATTCTACCAACATTATTACACAAAAATTCTTGTACGGGGACAGCATAGAGCTTTATCATGGTTTAATAAAGCTCTAGGCAGAAATGTTAACTTCAAAAACTGTTTGGTCGGCATCATGAGTGTTTACTGAAATGTGTTTGGTACATTCCGTTGAAGATCAAAATATTTAGGTCTCTGTCGTGAAGATTGTGAAATATGACAGTGTTACTTTCAACATATAAAGCAGACAGCTTACAGCTAGTCTAGTCTTGGTGTTACAGCTAGTCTAGTCTTGGTGTTACAGTTAGTCTAGTCTTGGTGTTACAGCTAGTCTAGTCTTGGTGTTACAGCTAGTCTAGTCTTGTTGTTACAGCTAGTCTAGTCTTGGTGTTACAGCTAGTCTAGCCTTGGAGTTACAGCTAGTCTAGTCTTGGTGTTACAGCTAGTCTTGGTGTTACAGCTAGTCTAGTCTTGGTGTTACAGCTAGTCTAGTCTTGGTGCTACAGCTAGTCTAGTCTTGGTGTTACAGCTAGTCTAGTCTTGGTGTTACAGCTAGTCTAGTCTTGGTGTTACAGCTAGTCTAGTCTTGGTGTTACAGCTAGTCTAGTCTTGGTGTTACAGCTAGTCTAGTCTTGGTGTTACAGCTAGTCTAGTCCTGGTGTTACAGCTAGCCCTAGTCTGGTGTTACAGCTAGTCTAGTCCTGGTGTGTTACAGCTAGTCTAGTCCGGGTGTTACAGCTAGTCTAGCCTGGGTTACAGCTAGTCTAGTCCTGGTGTTACAGCTATCTAGTCCTGGTGTTACAGCTAGTCTAGTCTTGGTGTTACAGCTAGTCTAGTCTTGGTGTTACAGCTAGTCAGCCCTTGGTGTTACAGCTAGTCTAGTCCTGGTGTTACAGCTAGTCTAGTCCTGGTGTTACAGCTAGTCTAGTCCTGGTGTTACAGCTAGTCTAGTCCTGGTGTTACAGCTAGTCTAGTCTTGGTGTTACAGCTAGTCTAGTCTTGGTGTTACAGCTAGTCTAGTCCTGGTGTTACAGCTAGTCTAGTCTTGGTGTTACAGCTAGTCTAGTCCTGGTGTTACAGCTAGTCTAGTCTTGGTGTTACAGCTAGTCTAGTCCTGGTGTTACAGCTAGTCTAGTCCTGGTGTTTACAGCTAGTCAGTCCTGGTGTTACAGCTAGTCTAGTCTGGTGTTACAGCTGTCTAGTCTTGGTGTTACAGCTAGTCTAGTCCTGGTGTTACAGCTAGTCTAGTCCTGGTGTTACAGCTAGTCTAGCCCTGGTGTTACAGCTAGTCTAGCCCTGGTGTTACAGCAATTTCTAGTCTTGGTGTTACAGCTAGTCTAGTCTTGGTGTTACAGCTAGTCTAGTCCTGGTGTTACAGCTAGTCTAGTCCTGGTGTTACAGCTAGTCTAGTCCTGGTGTTACAGCTAGTCTATTCTTAGACTAGCTATAAGACTAAAAATAGAAGGCTGCATCAAAATTAGTTATATTATTATAATCATGGAGAAGCCCTAAACCCGTAAGATTATAAAGTGCATGTAGGGGGAGGGGATGGAAGGTATTCAGGCTCAATTCAGGGAACTGGAGCACAGATCCAATTCCCTGGATCAAGAGCCCCTCACCAGCGTCAAGGAACCTCCCTTGACGGGCGGAAAATTAGCTGTAATCTAATAAGGCCTCATTCAAGAAATTTTGACGAGAAATAATGCAAAAATATATATAATAACTTTTTGAAAAAAAATTCATTTTGAAGGGAACCTAAAGGCCCTTAAAGGCGCGGGCCCCCTCCTGGGCCCCCCGCTGTAAATCACTGGTCAAACTCACTCAGCAGTGAAAATTCTTTAGCATGTTTTCCGTCTACAGCTGTGCCAAATGTGGCAATATTGATCATATTCTTCACTACCACTACAAACTACTATACAACTCACTACACAACTACTACCTACTACTACTACTATACTTTACTAAACTCAACTACAAAACTACTACTACTATAACTATTACTACTACTACTACAAAATACTACTACTACTATACTCACTATATACACAACTACACCATAGTATTACATCCACCTGGCCTATAATAACCCCGTGTCCATGTCTGTTTTTTAACGGCTTTACAAAGTCCCGCGAGCGAAAAAGTTTCCACAATAAAATGTCACATTAGCTGTTTATGTCCTTTTTTCTTTTACAATAAAGTCATTTAAAAAATTCGTAATTTAAATTTAAATTGGACCAAAAAGTTTCTAAATAAAAAACACAAACCTCTGTGTTTTTAACCCTTTTTTAAACCCCACAGATCATAGCCTATACAGTGGAACCCCGCTTAACGATCACCTCCAAATGCGACCAATTATGTAAGTGTATTTATGTAAGTGCGTTTGTATGTGTATGTTTGGGGGTCTAAATGGACTAATCTACTTCACAATATTCCTTATGGGAAAAAATTCGGTCAGTACTGGCACCTGAACATACTACTGGAATGAAAAAAGTTCGTTAACCGGGGGTCCACTGTATTTTCAGAAACAATTCCTTGTTCCATCTTATAAAAGTTACCCTTAGGAATGTGTGATGTCATTGGTTATTTAATATATGTATATATTATTATTATAATCAAAACTAAGCGCTGAACCCACATGGGTCATACAGTAATGTATCAATCAGTTTGAAAAGGTTATTCGTAGACTCCTATATTATAGTAATTATTTTATTTTGGGTAGTTAAAGGGGTAAATATTTTATATCAGAGCAAATTTCCTCATTAAATTGAATAATCATTGATTAGTATGGAGACATACGCCATTGTTGTTATTGTTGGTTAAGTCTTCTGTGAAGTATTGAAACGTCTGTCGTAGCCGAGGATCCTGGCATGATCAACGGTTAGTAGGCGTAGGTTTACACTCATGGGTGTGGGCGTGATGTGGGCGTGGATATGGGCGTGGAAGCAGCACTCAGGTATAGGGTCCATACCGTTCTAATCTCAGGTCTGGTACAGAGGAACGCCACCCTATGTATCCTGCGAGCAGTAATTAGGTGAGTAAGTAGGTAAGTAAGAAGATAAGTAGGTAAGTAAGAAGATAGGTAGGTAAGTAAGAAGATAAGTAGGTAAGTAAGAAGATAAGTAGGTAAGTAAGAGATAAGGTGGTAGAAATAAGTGGTAAGTAAGAGATAAGTAGTAAGTAAGAATAAGTTAGTTAGTTTTTAAGAAATAGTGTTAGGTATAGAAAATCCTGTGGGGTAGTAAGAAGACTCTATACCAGATGACAAGTGGTGAATCACAGTGGTGATTCTAAGCACTCAGTTCCTAACCTATACGCTCTAGTTAGTAGTAATTTAGTTACATATGTTATTTCACCATACCCATCGTGGCGGTAGCAAAAGATTACAGAGTAAATGTGGTCCAGGGACTGGCTCAGACTAAACCTCTTTATAATGGCTCTTTGTAACATAATTTAGTACAACATACTGATTGTGAGATGAACAGTGCTGAATTATGTATCCAGTGTAGATTGTAGAGGAAAGATATGAGCTGTGTGGTTTTTAATGTGTTTATAAGATGTAATTATAAGGAAATGGGATGCAGGTTGTGAGGGATTGTAAGGAGGAAACAAGTAGGTTGTGAGGGATTGTCAGGAGGCAGCGAATAGGGTTGTGAGGGATTGTAAGGTGATAGTAGGTTGTGAGGGGTTGTAAGGTAGCAGCGAGTAGGTTGTGAGGGATTGTAAGAAATCAGCAAGTAGGTTGTGAGGGATTGTAAGGTTGTGAAGGACTATAAGAAGGCTGCGAGTGATTGTGATTGTAGTGAAAAGTCAGTGAGAGGATTGTGTTTACAAGCACTGGAAATAAGTCATTTTAATTTATTCCGGGTCATCTTAGATAATCTACAAATATGCTGCTATGTATGTTATAATTTGTGTAACTGTGTTTATGTGTTTCTGTATCTGAATGAACTTACCGTTTGAAGTGGGCGGAAGGGGTGGCCCGTGGGCGGCGTGGGCGTAGGATTGCAGGAGGCGCTGCAGGAAGGTGTCCTGCCCCTCGCCTCCTGCACTAAACTGCAGGGAGCTATTCCTTGACCTTGAAGACGTCGACCTCTGAAGAAAGAATTATTATCATTATTATTATTATTATCATTATTATTATTATTTATTGTTGTATTCGTGGGGGAGGAGCGCTAAACCCGTTAAGACCATGTAGTGCTATCGGAATAGAGAGGTAATAAAGTTCGATACCAGGAAATGAAAAATGTAGCTCCAATCCTTCGGATCAAGAGCCCTTCACCAGTGCCAAAGAAACTCTCCCCCTCGACTGACAGGAAACTGCAGAAATAATTGTTACTTCACTTATAATGACAATAATATTATCAATGATAATATCAAAAATAATAATAATACAATATTAATGATAATAATAAAAATACAGTAATAATAATAATAATAATAATAATAATAATAATAATAATAATATAAATAATAATATTAAAATAATAACAATAATAATAATAACAATAATAATAATAATTATAATAATGATGATGATGAATAAAATAGCTTAGGTGGAAGACACAAAAAATGGTTATAAATGACCATAATTTTTAAAGTGGTGGACCGGTAAGCCAGCGGAAGGCCTCGGTCAGATGACCAAAAGCTCCAACGGCGGGTCATCATCTGACTACGACCCGCGTCAGGAAGCACTTGTCCTGTTTCCTGACAAACCTTACCTAACCTAACCTAAATAGCTTAGAGTAACGGTTGTTAAATCAGGTTTGATCCAGGGAAGGGAAAAGCTGCTCTAATCCCTTGGAACATGAGATCTTGCAACAAGCACCTACAAGGGACTCGCCTCAATGAGTGTGTTGGTGGATGCGTAGTCTCTCTTCCTGCGCTGCGCTGCTGCAGTCTCTCCCAGCACCACTGATCTCCTGCCAGAAAAAAAAAATTAGAAAATCTTCGAGTGTAGATTAAATAGTGAAATAAAACTGTGTAGGTATAGAGTATTCTGCTTTTTTCGTCTCCATGGACCACTGCAAACTGTCAGGTCTTTACCATCAGACTGTCAAATCTCCACCACCTGACTGGCAAATCTCCACCACCTGACTGTTTATCCTACGAGGTAAATGGATAAAATTCTCCGTTATTTTCTGTTGTGTCTTGCGTCAGTGTTTCCTGCTGAGCTCTGAGCAGAAGAAAAATAAACAGCGATTAATTTTTACCTCTTTACTGTGGAGGGTGTTATCAGTTGTGTGTGTGCTCACCGAGTTGTGTTTACTGAAGGGTTGAGTCGCAGCTCCTGGGAGCCTCTTAACCTACCGTAGCTGGTGTAATGGGTTCCTGGAGCCCTGTCGTAATTACAGCTCCGGGGAGAACCGTGAGTTTTCCCTGAGGTGAGTTTATTGTCTTCTCTGAGGATGAGGGTCCCCATTCCAGTTATAGAGGTGGTACCTCCCTAATATATATTATAATATATAATATATATATTATACTATATATATATATATATATATGATATATATTTACATACATATAATATATTACATATATATATATATACATATATATATATACATATATATATATATATATATATATATATATATATATATATATATATATATATATATATATATATATATATAATATATATATATATATATAATATATATATATATATCGTGTCCTAATAGGTAAAACTGGTCAATTAGCAAGAACTCATTTAAAATTAAGTTCTTTCTAAAATTTTCTCTTATACGTTTCAAGATATACTTTTTTCATTTATGTTAATATAAAGATTAATCATTTTGTACCAAAAGAACCCTAGAAAACTTACCTGACCTTATTGTAACAAGTGCAATTTAATTTAACCTGATCCAGCTAAATATATTTTAGGTAAGTTTACAATAATTTAATAATAAACAAAATGAAATAAATTTTTTTCGTTAGGGTCAGAATGATTTTTGCGAAATTATTGCATACACAAATTTTCGCTTACCTTATTCGGCAAGAAGAGCGTTGCTACTTAACTCCAAAATCATAAGTTTTACCTATTCGGCACGATATATATACTTGTCTGTGTGTGTGTGTGTGTGTGGTGTGTGTGTGTGTGTGTGTGCACGAGTGAGCGTGCATTTTTGTACATAGTGTCCATGCGTGAGACATTAGCCAGGCTGTGTGTACACAGCATGAGCCGCCCACTATTAACTTAAACCCACAACCGTCCACTGAGGACTTGTAAAATGACAAACATTTGGTCACACAAACACACGTCACCGAGGGAGATGACTGGACACGCAGCTGTTTAGCAGGACTGTGGCTGGGAGAGGGCGTGTTATGTTGCAAGCTAGCATTGACGCCTTACTAACTGGCTTTTGAGATTTGTTTGGAGAATGCCTTGTTCCTTCCTTTGAGGGAGAACACTGGAGTTTGTCATGAGTCAGAGGGTCCTTACTCATGGTGAGGTGATGGGTGGAGAGGCAAGACTGTATCTTAGTAAGTTTATTTAGGTACAGCTTACACGTAAGTACACTTATCATACATAGCAACATGTGTAAATTACCTACGACAAACCAAAAAAGTCAAAATGACTTTTAAGGAAACCTCGGAAGTGGCTTACCACTTGGAGTTACATTTCTTTTAATTGTAACACTTCTACCAGTAAAATTTATGTCTCCTTTCTCAGTGAAATCTTATAAATCACTGTTATAACTGTCATTGCAGCGCTGTATAGCCCTTGTGATTTAGCGTTTCTTTTTGATTATAATAATAATAATCATAATAATAATAATATAACTGCCATTAGCATTAGTGCTTCTCTTAGTACCTTGTCAAAACGTTTTATTAACATATTTAATTAATTCTTCATTCTATATATTTTATTTGATGGGAATTTAAATGTTACAGAAACAAAGAAAAAATACAAACACAAACACACAACACAGAAATAAACACACAACACAAACAAACACACAACACAGAAACAAACACACAACACAGAAACAAACACACAACACAGAAACAAACACACAACACAGAAACAAACACACAAAACAGAAACAAACACACAACACAGAAACAAACACACAACACAGAAACAAACACACAACACAGAAACAAACACACAACACAGCAACTCATGCAGTACCTGGACTGCACAGTAATTAGGGAATTCTCCCCATCTCTCATCAATCATCCTCTTAACTCTGGCCAACTCTCAAGCACGCAGAACACCACACCACCACCACACCAACACTGCTACCTTGGTCATCTACATTTCTGCTTTCACCAACACCTCGCCAAGATTGCTACCTTGGTCGCCACACCACTGCCACCATCAACATTCGACCATTGCTACCCTGGTCATCCAAACTAATACTATCACCAACACCTAGCCAATATTGCTGCCCTGGATGCCACACCATTACCACTATAATCAAACATTGCTACCCTGGTCAGCCTCTACCCTGGACGCCACACCACTACCCCATCAACAACCGAACATTGCTGCCCTGGTCAACTGTCAATCGGGCTGCTGCTTTACCAAAAACACACAAATGTCTCTCCCAGCACAGAAGAACTTCTCTAACCCAGCACTCTACTGACTCACGAATAAGTGACAACTCACTCTAACTCATGCCGTCATGGCTACTCATTAATTAGCAATGGTCCTTGGTGGCCCCAGCAGTGACCTGTAATTTCATTTCCTATTTGTGGGTTAGTTGTGAACTATTTATAACAGTTTTATTTGTCTTAAACTTTAATACATTATTTCTATGGATGGGAAAATGGCAATTTTTTTTTGCCAATACTGATACCCAATTTTTGGCCAATACCGATACTTTTCCAATACTTTTTTTAAATTATAATGACTGTGTTCAGTATATAAGGGAATACTTACTGCACAATGAGTATTAAATTGAACAGGAAGGTTCACTTATTGATAGTGTGTGTTTTGTGGTGTGTGGGGTTTTGTGTTTTGTGTGTGTGTGTACTCCCTAGTTGTACTCACCTAGGTTGGGGTCGAGTCCGAGCTCCTGGCCCCGCCTCTTCACTGATCGCTACTAGGTCACTCTCCCTGAACCGTGAGCTTTATCATACCTCTGCTTAAAGCTATGTATGGATCCTGCCTCCACTACATCGCTTCCCAAACTATTCCACTTACTGACTACTCTGTGGGTGAAGAAATACTTCCTAACATCCCTGTGATTCATCTGTGTCTTCAGCTTCCAACTGTGTCCCCTTGTTACTGTGTCCAATCTCTGGAGCATCCTGTCTTTGTCCACCTTGTCAATTCCTCTCAGTATTTTGTATGTCGTTATCATGTCCCCCCTATCTCTCCTGTCCTCCAGTGTCGTCAGGTTGATTTCCCTTAACCTCTCCTCGTAGGACATACCTCTTAGCTCTGGGACTAGTCTTGTTGCAAACCTTTGCACTTTCTCTAGTTTCTTTACGTGCTTGGCTAGGTGTGGGTTCCAAACTGGTGCCGCATACTCCAATATGGGCCTAACGTACACGGTGTACAGGGTCCTGAGCGATTCCTTATTAAGATGTCGGAATGCTGTTGTGAGGTTTGCTAGGCGCCCATATGCTGCAGCAGTTATTTGGTTGATGTGCGCTTCAGGATATGTGCCTGGTGTTATACTCACCCCAAGATCTTTTTCCTTGAGTGATGTTTGTAGTCTCTGGCCCCCTAGACTGTACTCTGTCTGCGGTCTTCTTTGCCCTTCCCCAATCTTCATGACTTTGCACTTGGTGGGATTGAACTCCAGGAGCCAATTGCTGGATCAGGTCTGCAGCCTGTCCAGATCCCTTTGTAGTTCTGCCTGGTCTTCGATCGAGTGAATTCTTCTCATCAACTTCACGTCATCTGCAAACAGGGACACCTCAGAGTCTATTCCTTCCGTCATGTCGTTCACAAATACCAGAAACATCACTGGTCCTAGGACTGACCCCTGTGGGATCCCGCTGGTCACAGGTGCCCACTCTGACACCTCGCCACGTACCATGACTCGCTGCTGTCTTCCTGACAAGTATTCCCTGATCCATTGTAGTGCCTTTTCTGTTATCCCTGCTTGGTCCTCCAGTTTTTGCACCAATCTCTTGTATGGAACTGTGTCAAACGCCTTCTTGCAGTCCAAGAATATGCAATCCACCCACCCCTCTCTCTCTTATCTTACTGCTGTCATCATGTCATAAAACTCCAGTAGGTTTGTGACACAGGATTTCCCGTCCCTGAAACCATGTTGGCTGCTGTTGATGAGATCATTCCTTTCTAGGTGTTCCACCACTCGTTGTGTGTGTGTGTGTGTGTGTGTGTGTGTGTGTGGTGTGTGTTGTGTGTGTGTGTGTGTGTGTGTGTGTGTGTGTGTGTGTGTGTGTTGTGTGTGTGTGTGTGTGTGTGCGTCTGCGTGTAACTCTCACAGTCGTGAGGTAGTGTTCATGTTGATATTTTTAAGCACACACACATGTAATATTGATATATTTTAATGTATCGGCTGGTATCGGCTGTTTCATTTTACCGATACCGTAAAAGTGGCTAATATCCGCCGATACCGATACTTGGGCACATCCCTACTTATTTCACACTATTTTACGAGACGATTACAAAATACTGGAAACCCATCCACCAATCACTCACGATACAGCATTCACCATCCATCACCACAATCCATCACCCACCATATAAGATCATCCTTCACCGGGTCCTTGGAATAAATGCAGTGTCTGGTCTTGGAAAAGCTGGGAGTCGTGTGTTTCTTGCTCTTCTTCTCATACTTCGAGAACTGAAGCTGTATCAGGTACTCCTCGATGTCAAACCTCCCTCTCCTCATCTTCGAGTCCTAAGGCAGAATATAATGGAGAAAAAAAATAATTTTATTTGTGCAAAACAACCACGGGGGCGGGGGGGTTGAATGATAGCTCTAGGTCATTCGCGTTGAAATCAACACATTATCAGGAGCTCGCAAGGATGCAGAAAAGAAGAGGAGGTCCCAGCAAATACGGTCACAGGGAACGCTCTTTCTGGGGTGAGCCCTTGCTCACTCCAGCAAGGGCTCACTCCAGCAAGGGCTCACTCCAGGGTCATTCAGAGCTGAACTTAGCTGGAACAAGTGACTATCAACCCTGGATTTGTTACACACGCTCTCCCACGCAGGGCGCTGCACAAGACCTAGTAAATGAATGCATAATTGTTGGAGAATAAATAGTGGCAGTGTTTACCTGGGATGTGTCAATACGGTGTAACACATTTCCTAGTTTGTTTTGTAAGAATTTCTGCAGAAATCACAAAGCTCTCACGAGAGGTTAATGAGGATAATGAGGGTTTGTTAGTGGAGGAAGAACAAGAGGGAGGGAAGGGAAAAATAAAAGGAGAAAAACCTTGAGAGGAAAGGTAGAGGAAAAAATAAATGGAAGGAAAAAAAGAGGGGGGAAAAAGGAAAGAGATAAAATGAAGAAGAGAAAGGGGTAAGAAGAAATTTCTTTAACAAACTTAAGCACAATCTTAAGTGCGCTGTTAGTCTATGCGATAATTACACCGTGGGAACGAAACCCAGGCTATGTTTCCCTGTCATATACCATCACACAGGATGGGCTGCACGCATGAGGTAATGAAACCTGCCGGCCTGACCTGGGAGACCTCAACACGATGAAGATATCATCAAACACTCCGCTATGGATTTTGTAACTACGGAAACTTTAAAGGATTCCTACGAGCAAGGATGAGCGCAGATTTTGTGAGCCAGAGGATTGCGTTGTGATATTTCCTTATTTCTGGCGAGACATCTGTTGAATATATGATGATGGATGTGTTTCTCCTCTTCTTTGCGCCACTCTACATTGGTGGTAAACAGCAGAGATAGTGAAAAAAAATAAATATAAAGGTGGAAACATCAGAACGTGTTTCCTTAAAACACCTGATGTCCCTGTTCACTTAGCAGTAAAATAGGTACCTGGGTGTTAGTGGACTGGAGTGGGTCGCATCCTGGGACAAAACTGACCTAATTTGCCTGAAATACTCAGCATAACAAAGGGCTTTCTATATAGCAGTATGTCATTGATGTCAGCTAGGACTGTATACCTTGTACATGTACTTGTAGTAAATAAAGATTTATTATTATTATTATTTTATGCGGTCGTTACCATCTCTCTGGATATGAGGGATAGACAGTCATGAAGATTTGCTAAACCCGTAGGGGCCATGCAGCCCCGGGGTGATGTGAGATAAGAGATAATCAGATCTAAGGAGAGAATAGCTACAATTCTATGGATCAAGAGCCCTTCACCAGCATCAAGGTCCCCTTCCATGAAACGCCCATGTGGATGATACTGGTCGCGTGTTGGTGCTGCTCGACCCGGGAATGTCTCTCCTATAATTTTTCGCCTCCAGCGCTACCATTCACAGGATTTACTAAAGATAGTGGATGACCACCACGACCTGTTGGTGTAGGGGGCGGGCGGGAGAGAGGTTGACGCCTGGGCGCCACTTGTGGCATGCAGTCAAGCGATTTTTTTTTTGAGGGAGGGGGGGGGGACGCGATGGCTTTGCCCAAAAAAATTGCTGACCAAAACGATTGTCACTGATTTAGTACCTGTGTTGCAGCTGTGCAGAATTAGACTGTGCTATTAGCAACGACCAGTAAGATTAACAAATATCATTCAGCAATGAAATAATTCTCAATAACTGATTTTAGGTACTTGTACATATCGAATGACTATGTTTAATACTTAAAAATGTGTGAGGATTTCCGCACAGGCCAGTTTAATGATAAATAGTAAACATAAATATCAGAGAGAACCAGAGATCACAACTTGATATACACCATCTGAGGGCAAGAATCTGGTTGGCAGGAACGATTACCACAAACGAGGTAATCGAACCAGCCCTCCCAACACATCTCTGGCACGTTAGAATGTGATAGTACATCTAATGGTCACCAGGTATTCTAGAGATGTATACCACCACTAGATGTCTTTGGTTTCTTTGCTGACAGCTGATAAAGAAGACTATAGAGATTTGGTCTCATGTGCACTGAAATACATAATAGTTTGCTTATTGTAAGAGTTAAACACTTATAGGTCACTCAGCATAAGCAGTGCAAATATCATTCCAAACACCATGAAATTAAATTAAAGCAGATTCAAAAAAAAAAAAAAAAAGCAAGTGGGTTATACTGCTGAAAATGGCGCGTTACAGGAAATCATGAAAAGGGAACTGAAGAACCTAGGGGAAAAATAAGGTTATGTTCCAGACACTTTAAAAAAGGCCAAACGAGTTTTCACTTCGAAGTTTTTTTATTCATCACAAATAATAAAGTCTTTCATTTCTTACAGTGTAGTTTGTCATTGCTTGTTGATCTTCAAACAAGTGTAGAGAGATATAGTGGCTCTGTTCAGTACCTATACTTATTCAAACAGTTTCCAAGTAGCATCACTTACTTCCAGCCACCATCACCTGCTAAAATTAGTAAAAAAAAAAAAAAAAAAAATAAACTACATCTCTTTACTAAATGCTACCAAACACACACATACACACACACACACACACACACACACACACTATTATGAATGTATATATATGTTTAGAATTCGCAGATCAGACGAAATATTCACGAACACTAATCTCAAATCGATGGCGACTCGAACCTACGAACCTTCAACAAGGTACACAGTGCCTAAAAACTGTACCCAACTGTCAGTACCTTCGCGCCCAGCCCAACGCTAGACGTTTTGGTTCAAGGCAGCCAGCCTTCAGGCAAGTATCTTTCAGCTTATCATCTCATTCCCTGCATACATCGACCGACGAGAGATTTTTACAATGTTTAGAATTCTCAAAGAGGCGAAAATTCCCCAAACACATAGGTCGAAATTTTTCTTTTACGTTTAAAAAACACTTTTAAAATTTAAAGTTAAAGTAAAAAATTTTAAAAAAATTTTTACCAAAGAACCTTGGAAAACTTACCTATTATTTAACGAATTTAAAACACTTTAAACCCAAAAATTTAATGTTTAGTAATTTAAAAAAAAAATTTCAATGAAAAATTTTTGAAGAAAGGATTTTTGAAATTATTGCATAAAAAATTTTTTCGCTTGTTTTATTGGGCAAGAAAGATTGCCTTTTAAGTCAAATCGCAAGTTGCATTAAGTCAAAATCGCGGGCCCCCGGCCCCTGGGGGGCTAAAGCTCCAGCTTCACACACGGGGGCCCCCGGGTCGTTTTCCCGCGGGGGGAACATTTCGACAACGTTTCCTTACCCTTTTCCTTTCACCTGGCAAATGGGTACCTGGTGTTAGCACGGGGGGTCGCACCTGGGGAAAAAATTTTAAGGACCCCAATGGAAATAAGTTAACATCCTCAAACCACGATTTTTCTTGGTTATCCGGGGTACTAACCCTCAGGGTTAAAAAATCCAAACAAATTTTTTATGTTATCTTATTTTAAAAAAAAAATATAAAATATATATATATATATATATATATATATATATATATAAGAAACATAAATTTCGTTTGGATTTTTAACCCTGAAGAGTTAGCTACCCAGGATAACCCAAGAAAGTCAGTGCGTCATCGAGGACTGTCTAACTTATTTCCATTGGGGTCCTTAATCTTGTTCCCCAGGATGCGACCCACACCAGTCGACTAACACCCAGGTACCTATTTGCTACTAGGTGAACAGGACAACAGGTGTAAGGAAACGTGTCGAAATGTTCCCACCCGCCGGGAATCGAACCCGGGCCCTCCGTGTGTGAAGCTGGAGCTTTAGCCACCAGGCCCGGTGGCCTGCGATTTTGACTTAAATAGCAACTTGCGATTTTGACTTAAATGGCAATGCTCTTCTTGCCGAATAAGACAAGCGAAAATTTGTGTATGCAATAATTTCACAAAAATCATTCTCATCCTATCGTAAAAAATATATTTCATTGTATTTGTTTATTATCAAATTACTGTAAACTTATCTAAAATATATTTAGTTGGATTAGGTTAAATTAAATTGCGCTTATTATATGGTTAGGTAAGTTTTCTAAGGTTCTTTTGGTACAAAATTATTAATTTTTACTTTAACTTTAATTAAAAAAATGTATCTTTAAACGTATGCCCAGTTTGTATGAACATCCCAGTTTGTATGAACATCCCAGTTTGTATGAACATCCCAGTTTGTATGAACATCCCAGTTTGTATGAACATCCCAGTTTGTATGAACATCCCAGTTTGTATGAACATTCCAGCTCAGGTTTCGTGATTGTTACTGATGTATTACAAAATCACTGTTAATGTACCATAGACCTACTGTTATTGTGCCTCATTAATGACACAAGGATTCTACATGACACAAGGATTCTGCATGACACAAGGATTCTACATGACACAAGGATTCTACATGACACAAGGATTCTACATGACACAAGGATTCTATGACAGATCACGACAAGGATTCTACATGACACAAGGATTCTACAGACACAAGGATTCTACAGACACAGTTCAAGACACAAGGATTCTACACCCATGATTCTACATAAAGGATTCTACATGACACAAGGATTCTACATGACACAAGGATTCTACATGACACAAGGATTCTACATGACACAAGGATTCTACATGACACAAGGATTCTACATGACACAAGGATTCTACATGACACAAGGATTCTACATGACGCAAGGATTCTACATGACACAAGGATTCTACACGACACAAGGATTCTACACGACACAAGGATTCTACATGACACAAGGATTCTACACGACACAAGGATTCTACATGACACAAGGATTCTACATGACACAAGGATTCTACACGACACAAGGATTCTACATGACACAAGGATTCTACACGACACAAGGATTCTACATGACACAAGGATTCTACATGACGCAAGGATTCTACATGACACAAGGATTCTACATGACGCAAGGATTCTACATGACGCAAGGATTCTACATGACACAAGGATTCTACATGACACAAGGATTCTACATGACGCAAGGATTCTACACGACACAAGGATTCTACATGACGCAAGGATTCTACATGATGCAAGGATTCTACATGACGCAAGGATTCTACACGACACAAGGATTCTACATGACGCAAGGATTCTACATGACACAAGGATTCTACATGACACAAGGATTCTACATGACACAAGGATTCTACATGACGCAAGGATTCTACACGACACAAGGATTCTACATGACGCAAGGATTCTACATGATGCAAGGATTCTACATGACGCAAGGATTCTACACGACACAAGGATTCTACATGACACAAGGATTCTACATGACACAAGGATTCTACACGACACAAGGGTTCTACATGACACAAGGATTGTACATGACACAAGGATTGTACATGACACAAGGATTGTACATGACACAAGGATTGTACATGACACAAGGATTGTACATGACACAAGGATTGTACATGACACGTGGCATCTATGTGGTGGTACAGGAAGAGAACAGACAAAAATCAGTTGGGGCAGAGTAGCAGTGAGCGAGAAAGTGAGAGACAGAGCAAACGAGCTGAGGCATCGTGAGAAAGTGAGCTAGGGAGTGTAGGAGTGAGTGAGAGAAAGAGAGAGAGCAACTCACCTCCTACCTCGACGGCTTCTGGCCAAGCACTGGCAGTAGCCGCCGCTGCCACCACCTGTTATTAATAACCAATATCTCAGTGCTGGCGAAGAGATCTTGATCCAGGGCATTACAGCCACCCTCCCCCTCCTACCTCATGCCCCTCATCCACATTCTTCTAGTCAAGCAAAAAATCACATCCCATTTCCCCCAGACGCTGTACATCTCCCATGAACTCAGACATATTTTTCAATAAAAATTACTTTTATCGACCACACGAGGGCCATTAAAAAGGCTTCGCGTGGCCTTTTAAACCACCAGTCAAATCCACTTAAATATGATTGTAATAATGCTGTAATACTCAAAATGAGGTTTAAATTAAGTCTTCAACACACATATATGCTGAGAGGCATCTACAAATACGTATCTCAAGGTATATACACTGTCTCGTGGATGTCCATGATGTATATGCACTGTTTCATGCATGTTCATGAGGTATATATACTCTTTCGTGGATGTTCATGAGGTATGTATACTGTTTCGTGGATGTTCATGAGGTATATATACTGTTTCGTCGATGTTCTTGAAGTATATGAACGGTTTAATTGATGATCATGAAGTATATATTCTGCTTCGTGGATGTTCATGAGGTATATATACTGTTCGTCGATGTTTTTGATGTATATATACTGTTTCGTCGATGTTCATGAGGTATATATACTGTTTCGTCGATATTTTTTATGTATATATACTGTTTCGTCGATGTTCGTGAGGTATATATACTGTTTCGTCGATGTTTATGATGAATATATACTGTTTCGTCGATGTTTATGATGAATATATACTGTGTCGTCGATGTTTATGATGAATATATACTGTTTCGTGGATGTTCATGGCACATATGTACCATGGTTATTCGCCTTTAAAAAGGTGATGGCCTTGTTTGGATTACAAACACAGGAGGGTTTGTAACCCCGGGATAACCCAAGAAAGCCAAGCAGGGTGGCTTGTTTACCCTGGGATCCTGTCTTTCGGCCCTCCCCCAGGATGCCAACCCTTTCAAAAGCAGACTGACTCCTAGTTATCAATCGCCTGTTAGCTAACAGGTGTTAGGAGACTTGCCTATACGTTTCGCCCAGCATGGGGTTCGACCTCAGGTTCTTTCAGTTGTGAGAATGGTTCGCTCACAGCAAGATTTTGCATTCGTGGGCTAGCCGGTATGTTGATGGTCTCGTGTATGAGAGATCGCCGGTTCGAGTCCCTAATATTTTCCATAATGAAGTATAATGACCTTTTCGAAATAGAGATTATCTTACATGGAAGAATTAGAGAAAGCTTCATTTTCATTGCACCTTTCGAAACTTCATACTGGTTCGAAGCATTTTCTGACATACTGGGAAAATTTACTAAGAATTTCTTTTCCTGACGCCCCCCCCCCAAAAAAAAAACCAATGTCTGGAGCGTTGTTCTAATCATCCTCAAAAAAGAATAATGAATTTATTGTTCGCCTCGCCCTTCTAGTTTGCTTGTGGGTAGTTAAATTACAGCTAAATATATATGCTCTAATTATAGCCTTAAAAGTGTCTATGTTTAGCTATAATCCCCTTCCCTCTGTTCTATACTGGTGCAGCATTCATCATTCTTCTACCTGCATTCTGTAATGCTGCTTGCTGTAATCTTACTGTAACCCTGCTTGCTGTAGCTCTCCTTACTGTAATTCTGTGCGCTATAATTCTGTTTGCTATAATTCTGTTTGCTGTACTCTTACTTCATGTAACGGTGCTTGCTGTAGCCCTGTTTGCTGTAACCCTGCTTGTTGTATTTCTGCTTGCTGTAATTCTGCTTGATGTAACCCTGCTTGCTGTGACCTTGTAGCCCTGCTTGTTGTAACCCTGCTTGTTGTAACTGCTTTCTGTAACCTTGCTTTCTGTAACGCTGCTTGCTGTAATGCTGCTTGCTCTAACCATGCTTTATGTAATGCTGCTTGCTGTAACGCTACCTGCAGCAACGGTGCTTGCTGTAGCCCTGCTTGCTGCAACCCTTCTTACCGTAACGCTGCTTGCTGTAACCCTTCTCTCTGCAACCCTGCTTGCTGTAGCTCTGTTTATTGTAACTCTGCTTGCTGTAACACTGCTTGCTGTAACCCTGGTTGCTGTAACTCTTCTTGCTGTCAGTGCTTGCTATAACCTTTAAACTACGGTTACAGCGTTTCTCATCTTTCCTGCAACTGAAAAGTTACTGCTGTAACCGTAATCTGCGTCGTCGTACTAGTTACATCGTACGACCTACGAACAGTCCCCGGCCTACGAACACCCCGCGACCTACGAACAGTCCGCGACCTACGAACACCCCGCGACCTACGAACACCCTGCGACCTACGAACACCCCGCGACCTACGAACACCCCGCGACCTACGAACACCCCGCGACCTACGAACACCCCGCGACCTACGAACACCCCGCGACCTCCTACCATCCTCATTATGCGTCTTATTGAGAAAGAATGCGCCTTTACAAAAGCGTGCGCTGGCGTAACAGTGTGCATTACTAACGGATGCGTCATGCAAATAGGATGCGCCCTACTAAGAACATATCTTTCAGAAGTAACTTACGTCATGGTAGCCATGACGCAAGTTACTTGCAACACATGAAACCTAACTAGGTCTCTGTAGGGCAGGGACATCCACCATGAGATATTTATAGCACTTTTTTTTAGTTAGATAGGCTTATACGGCCTATCTAGTTTCCCCCCAAAAAATATTTCTGCTAAAATGTCCTCATTTTTTATTTATTAATAAATAATAATAATAATAATAATAATAACTAATAATAATAATAATAATAATAATAATAATAATAATAATAATAATAATAATATTGATAATAATAATAATAATAACGATAATAATAACATTAATAAAAGTTTCGTAAGGCTTCATAAGGGTTCCAGGCATTTTACTGTGAAGACGTTTCTCCCACCAGAGACTGTGAAGACGTTTCGCCCACCAGAGACTTTAATCAATTCACACAGAGAATAACTGATAAAGTCCCTGGTGATCTTCAACAATTTTTATCCTAGGATAAGGGAGGCTAAAGCTCCCGCTTCACACACGGAGGGCCCGGGTTCGATTCCCGGCGGGTGGAAACATTTCGACACGTTTCCTTACACCTGTTGTCCTGTTCACCTAGCAGCAAATAGGTACCTGGGTGTTAGTCGACTGGTGTGGGTCGCATCCTGGGGGACAAGATTAAGGACCACAATGGAAATAAGTTAGACAGTCCTCGATGACGCACTGACTTTCTTGGGTTATCCTGGGTGGCTAACCCTCCGGGGTTAAAAATCCGAACGAAATCTTATCTTATCTTATCTTATAAAAAAAAAAATTACGAAAACATGTGTAGCTAGAATCACGTTTGATGTAAATTGTTTAGAAGTTAAAGAATGAGATACTTGTGCGACATTTTGAAACCTCTATTGAGGAAACGTTTCGCCAGCCAGTAGCTTCTTCAGTCCAATATAGAGAAGAGCTGTGGAAGATGAGGTGGAATTTAAGGTAATCAGTCCCTTTGTTTCGGACTGAAGAAGTCACTGGCTAGCGAAACGTTTCCACAATAAAGATTCCAAAACGTTGCACAGGTGTCTCATTCTTCAGGAATCATATTACAGATCTGATCACCACTGAATAGTCTTCGTGGATGACTTAGCCCTGTGCTGATAGTCTCAGGGAGGTGCTCCTGGATGACTTAGTTCTGTGCTGATAGTCTCAGGGAGGTGCTCCTGGATGACTTAGTTCTGTGCTGATAGTCTCAGGGAGGTGCTCCTGGATGACTTAGTTCTGTGCTGATAGTCTCAGGGAGGTGCTCCTGGATGACTTAGTTCTGTGCTGATAGTCTCAGGGAGGTGCTCCGGGATGACTTAGTTCTGTGCTGATAGTCTCAGGGAGGTGCTCCTGGATGACTTAGTTCTGTGCTGATAGTCTCAGGGAGGTGCTCCTGGATGACTTAGTTCTGTGCTGATAGTCTCAGGGAGGTGCTCCTGGATGACTTAGTTCTGTGCTGATAGTCTCAGGGAGGTGCTCCTGGATGACTTAGTTCTGTGCTGATAGTCTCAGGGAGGTGCTCCTGGATGACTTAGTTCTGTGCTGATAGTCTCAGGGAGGTGCTCCTGGATGACTTAGTTCTGTGCTGATAGTCTCAGGGAGGTGCTCCTGGATGACTTAGTTCTGTGCTGATAGTCTCAGGGAGGTGCTCCTGGATGACTTAGTTCTGCGCTGATAGTCTCAGGGAGGTGCTCCTGGATGACTTAGTTCTGTGCTGATAGTCTCAGGGAGGTGCTCCTGGATGACTTAGTTCAGCACTGATAGTCTCTGGGAGGTGCTCCTGGATGACTTAGTTCTGCGCTGATAGTCTTAGGGAGGTGCTCCTGGATGACTTAGTTCTGTGCTGATAGTCTCAGGGAGGTGCTACTGGATGACTTAGTTCTGCACTGATAGTCTCTGGGAGGTGCTCGTGGATGACTTAGTTCTGTGCTGATAGTCTCAGGGAGGTGCTCCTGAATGACTTAGTTCTGTGCTGATAGTCTCAGGGAGGTGCTCCTGAATGACTTAGTTCTGTGCTGATAGTCTCAGGGAGGTGCTCCTGGATGACTTAGTTCTGTGCTGATAGTCTCAGGGAGGTGCTCGTGGATGACTTATTTCTGCGCTGATAGTCTCAGGGAGGTGCTCCTGGATGACTTATTTCTGCGCTGATAGTCTCAGGGAGGTGCTCCTGGATGACTTAGTTCTGTGCTGATAGTCTCAGGGAGGAGCTCCTAGATGACTTAGTTCTGCACTGATAGTCTCTGGGAGGTGCTCCTGGATGACTTAGTTCTGTGCTGATAGTCTCAGGGAGGAGCTCCTAGATGACTTAGTTCTGCACTGATAGTCTCAGGGAGGAGCTCCTGGATGACTTAGTTCTGCACTGATAGTCTCAGGGAGGTGCTCCTGGATGACTTAGTTCTGTGCTGATAGTCTCAGGGAGGTGCTCCTGGATGACTTAGTTCTGTGCTGATAGTCTCAGGGAGGAGCTCCTGGATGACTTAGTTCTGCGTTGATAGTCTCAGGGAGGAGCTCCTGGATGACTTAGTTCTGCGCTGATAGTCTCAGGGAGGAGCTCCTGGATGACTTAGTTCTGCGCTGATAGTCTCAGGGAGGAGCTCCTGGATGACTTAGTTCTGTGCTGATAGTCTCAGGGAGGAGCTCCTGGATGACTTAGTTCTGTGCTGATAGTCTCAGGGAGGAGCTCCTGGATGACTTAGTTCTGTGCTGATAGTCTCAGGGAGGAGCTCCTAGATGACTTAGTCCTGCGCTGATAGTCTCAGGGAGGAGCTCCTGGATGACTTAGTTCTGCACTGATAGTCTCAGGGAGGAGCTCCTGGATGACTTAGTTCTGCGCTGATAGTCTCAGCGAGGCTGCTACTATCACTGATCCCAGAAATAAAGCATAAAATTTCAATATCCTTAGGGGTAGATTAAAAAAATAAAATCAGAATAAAATACTCTAACTTACGTTGTGTTATTTACACAGTGTGTAAATAACATACTCCATTACTTGCTGTTGAAATAACCTCAACGGAACTGTTGTGGACTGCACCTCCTCCTCTCCTTACCCATTTCTGCTCTGTATTGGACTGATGAAGCCAGTGTGTAGTGAAACGTTTCAACAATAAAGGTGCCCATCTGTTGTACATGTATCTTAATCATAAACTGTTGTGAACTGCTGTAACTCAACGCAGTTTTCAAAATACAGTCTTTACCGTACGCTCAATTCATACTGCAGTAGCCACAGCTGACGGCAGACATCTTCACCCCTGTGTTTGTGTCGCTGCAGTCATCCTTAAGCACTATGTACCGTTGTTGACATGGCAGCTGGAATGCATTATGCGGATGTGGCTTCCGGGAAAGGCATTCCCACCGTGAGGCTGGAGTTGCTGTAGGAATGTGTGGGGTCATGTCGGGGATGTGTGGTTCGTGCCAGGTATGTGTGGTTCATGCCAGGGTTGTGTGGGTCATGTCAGGGTTGTGTGGGCCATGCCAGGGATGTGCGGGTTATGCCAAGGATGTGTGGGTCATGCCAGGGTTGGGTGGGACATGCCAGGGTTGTGTGGGACATGCCAGGGTTGTGTGGGTCATGCCAGGGTTGTGTGGTTCATGCCAGGGTTGTGTGAGTCATGCCAGGGTCGTGTGGGTCATGCCTGGGATGTGTGGGACATGCCAGGGATTTGTGTAACATGCCAGGGATGTGTAAGTTATGTCAGGGATGTGGATCATGCCAAAGATGTATGAATCCTGCCCAAGATGTGTGAATCATGCCAAAGATGTGTGAATCATGCCAAAGATGTGTGAATCATGCCAAAGATGTGTGAATCATGCCAAAGATGTGTGGATCATGCTAAAGATGTGTGGATCATGCCAAAGATGTGTGGATCATGCCAAAGATGTGTGGATCATGCCAAAGATGTGTGGATCATGCCAAAGATGTGTGGATCATGCTAAAGATGGGTGAATCATGCCAAAGATGTGTGAATCATGCCAAAGATGTGTGGATCATGCTAAAGATGGGTGAATCATGCCAAAGATGTGTGGATCATGCCAAAGATGTGTGGATCATGCCAAAGATGTGTGGATCATGCCAAAGATGTGTGGATCATGCCAAAGATGGGTGAATCATGCCAAAGATGTGTGGATCATGCTAAAGATGGGTGAATCATGCCAAAGATGTGTGAATCATGCCAAAGATGTGTGGATCATGCCAAAGATGTGTGGATCATGCCAGGCTCTAGCTAGAAGTAATCCCTGTGATTAGCACACAAACTTTCGAAGTTATTTGCAGATTTAATCGCAGGATTAAAAAGGGAAAAGCCTGAATTTAGATCGAGGTTGTGCAACATCGTTGGAACAGACTCAGAGGAGATATTATCCCGTCGTAGCTCTGGTGTTACATTTATTACTGTCTCTGCGCTGCATATAATATGAGGATACGGTAGACAGAAAGCAGCAATGAGATGAGATTTGTTGTCGAATTTTCAGGATGATGGAGTGTTCTTTCTCTCTCTCTCTCTCTCTCTCTCTCTCTCTCTCTCTCTCTCTCTCTCTCTCTCTCTCTCTCTCTCTCTCTCTCTCTCTCTCTCTCTCTCTCTCTCTCTCTCTCTCTCTCTCTCTCTCTATGTCTCTCTCTCTCTCTCTCTCTCTCTGCTCTTCTCGTCTCTCTCTCTCCTCTCTCTCTCCTCTCTCTCTCGTCTGTCTCTTCTCTCTCTCCCCTCTTCTCTCCTTCTCTCTGTCTCCTCTCTTCTCTCTCTCTCTCTCTGTAACTCTCTCTCTCCTCTTTCTCACCTTCGCTTCTCGTTTTGTTTCCCGTCTGTCTGTCTATCTTCTTCTGTCTCTCTGTATCTATTTTGTCTCCCTGTCTCTGTCCTCTTTCTCTTTTTTCTTTGTAAACCCCATTTGCCTTCCATTTTCCAAGCGCTGTGCGAACCCTAAAATTAGCGCTGCCCTCATGAATAATAATAATAAAAATAATAATAATAATAATAATAATAATAATAATAATAATAATAATAATAATAATAATAATAATAATAATCTTCCTCTTTCTCTCTCTCGGAAAAATTGTCATCTACGACCAAAGAGATTAAACATATATTTACTTACCGCAGTGTTCTTTCCTTCTTGTGTAACTAATAACTTAACCATGTCTTTTAAAGAGGTGGACCATTAAGCCAGCGGAAGGCCTCGGTCAGATGATCAAAAACTTTAGCTGAGGGTCATGACTCAGACCCACGCCAGGAAACACTTATCCTGTTTCCTGACAAACATTGTACCTACCTTCTCGTGTTCTTGTGTATTTTATTGAGCAAGATTACTATAACATGAACGTCGAAGTCCAACAGTGAAGTCCAACAGTGAAGTCCAGCAGTGAAGTCCAGCAGTGAAGGTTAGCAGTGAAGTCCAGCAGTGAAGGTTAGCAGTGAAGTCCAGCAGTGAAGGTTAGCAGTGAAGTCTAGCAGTGAAGGTTAGCAGTGAAGTCCAGCAGTGAAGGTTAGCAGTGAAGGTTAGCAGTGAAGGTTAGCAGTGAAGTCCAGCAGTGAAGATTAGCAGTGAAGTCCAGCAGTGAAGGTTAGCATGAAGTCCAGCAGTGAAGGTTAGCAGTGAAGTCCAGCAGTGAAGGTTAGCAGTGAAGTCCAGCAGTGAAGGTTAGCAGTGAAGTCCAGCAGTGAAGGTTAGCAGTGAAGTCCAGCAGTGAAGGTTAGCAGTGAAGTCCAGCAGTGAAGGTTAGCAGTGAAGTCCAGCAGTGAAGGTTAGCAGTGAAGGTTAGCAGTGAAGTCCAGCAGTGAAGGTTAGCAGTGAAGTCCAGCAGTGAAGGTTAGCAGTGAAGTCCAGCAGTGAAGGTTAGCAGTGAAGTCCAGCGTAAGGTTAGCAGTGAAGGTTAGCATGAAGTCCAGCAGTGAGGTTAGCAGTGAAGTCCAGCAGTGAAGGTTAGCAGTGAAGTCCAGCATGAAGGTTAGCAGTGAAGTCCAGCAGTGAAGGTTAGCAGTGAAGTCCAGCATGAAGGTTAGCAGTGAAGGTTAGCAGTGAAGTCCAGCAGTGAAGGTTAGCAGTGAAGGTTAGCAGTGAAGGTTAGCAGTGAAGGTTAGCAGTGAAGGTTAGCAGTGAAGGTTAGCAGTGAAGGTTAGCAGTGAAGTCCAGCAGTGAAGTCCAGCAGTGAAGTCCAGCATCTGGTAGAAGGCAAGACGTTCTCACTGCTAGAGTTAAGACTAGAAACACATGTGGTAGCCCAGGTGGTATAGCAAGTTCCATTATATGTAATATAATAGGTGAGAAGTGTGTCTAGGACTCGCACTTGTACAATATATCGTTGATTTCCAAGAAAAAGTATAGATAAAAGTTATAACAAATTCCAAACTCATTGATAAATGGCTTTATTAGCAAAGTCAAAATTGCTGGAATAGCGAGGAGGCCTGGTCATGGACCGGGCCGCGGGGCGTTGATCCCCGGAATAACCTCCAGGTAACCTCCAGGTAGACGAATTATATACGATATGAAACATAATTTAGGAAGTAACTTTATTCTGTAAAATAATTATAAATATTTACCCATAGGTACTAATATTTTTTTTTTTTAATTCGCCGGTATTCTCCCGGCTAATATTTTATTTATTATTATTAAAGATTCACCGGTATTCTCCCGGCCCGGGCCTTTTCCAAGTGGTGACCCGGCCTTGGCTCCCTCTCTAGGGAGTGTCTGAGACCTAAGTCTCTTATGGGAGGAGGCACAAGTACCTCCTCATCTTTGGGACCAACTGTCCCCAGGCCTAGCCACAAGCTAGGTCTGTCCTCCCCGCCACAAGGGGGCTAATGGGAATGACAGTCTTGTGAGCTGTAAGCTCGGGCTCAGGCACCTACCCTACCCTAGAAGGGCTGGGTATAGTGTCATTACAACTGACAGGACGAGTGTATGCAAAATAAAAACTCAAGTGACAATAATAATAATAATAATAATAATAATAATAATAATAATAATAATAATAATAATAATAATAATAATTATAATAATAATAATGAAATAGATTCGGAATATTATTATTATTATTATAATCAAGGGGGAGCGCTAAACCTGTAGGATTATACAGCGCCTGGGGGGGGGGGTGTGGAAAGCATTCAGGCTTAATTCGGGGAACCGGAGCACAGATCCAATTCCCTAAATCAAGAGCCCCTCACCAACATCAAGGAACCTTCCCTGAGGGGAAATAGATTCGGAGAAAAAAAAAATCAGGTGTTTTATTCTTTAGCAGACTTGTTACTAGATATATTTATTGTGGTAGCTTCTTCATAGGTGGGCAGTCCGTCGGTGGAAGACTGGAAGACTATAGAAGAACGTGTATAAGCGCCATAGGCAGGATCCAACGTATAGGTCTCGTACACTGTGAGCTGCTGTCCGTACGCGGGTAAAGTAGCTTCGTGTGGGTAGGTATGAGGGCTGGGAGGTTGATCCTGGATGTGTGAGGGGTAGAGTGGGTGAGCAGCGTACGATGTTTGTGAGGTGTAGGAAGGTGGTTGGGTGAGATCCAGCTGTTGTGTGGTGGAGTGCTGTTGCTGGTGTTGCTGTTGCTGGTGTTGCTGTTGCTGGTGTTGCTGCTGCTGTCTAGCTGTGTAGTGGGTGATAGCAGAAGTGACGTTCACGTCCGCAATAGGCTCACTTGCTATAGGCTTTTGTTGGCAACTCATAATAAAGAATATCACTGCCAGGCTGCCTTAAAGAAAGAACCAACCCGTGAAAAATAAACACACTGAAAACAATATATAATATATAATATATATATATATATATATTATATATATATATATATATATATATATATATATATATTATATATATATATATGTGTGTGTGTTAGTTACCATTTTGTCCGTGTGTGTGTGTGTGTGTGTGTGTGTGTGTGTGTGTGTGTGTGTGTGTGTGTGTGTGTGTGTGTGTGTGTATGTGTGTTGTGGGGTGTGTGTGTGTGTGTGTGTGTGTGCGTGTGTGTGCGTGCGTGTGTGTGTGTGTGTGATATAAAATTTATTACAAAATATTTGATAGACATTACAAAAATATTTATTTAGAACATATAACAATTTTAGAACTCATTTTCACAAAACAATCCTCTCTTTGGAGAGTACACTAGATTCACTGATTCATCATTCTTATAAATCTTAAGTTAATTTTAAGCCACCCGTAATGCTAGCTATAGTGGTTTGCATGCTGCTCTTATCTGTATTTTTTTGTACCTCTGTATGTGTGCTCAAATTATAAATTAAAATAAACAACGTTTCGAGCCCATTCTTGACCATTATCAAGTCACGGAAGGGCCGAACGTCTTGAAAAGTTTTCCTCTCGAGAAGTGTAGGAGAATTAGTGACTTGTTCCAGCCACAGTATTGTGGCTTTCATTCTTCAATAATCTTACCTGTAAAAACCGCTCCGTAGTATATTTCAACTGTGGTGCTGACGACACATGCCAGAACACATAAGAAAGCACATAGTAGCATTCCAGGCCTCACCTGTGTCTGTAAAATACAACTTATTAATACACACACACACACACACACACACACACACACACACACACACACACACACACACACACACATACACGGCGCGCGCGCGCGCGCGCGGATCAGACAGGTCTACAAAGAAACCTGGACAGGCTGGACGCGTAGTCCAGCAACTGGCTCCTAGAATTTAACCCCGCCAAAGGCAAAGTCATGAAGATCGGAGAAGGGCAAAGAAGACCGCAGACAGAGTATAGGGTAGGTGGCCAAAGACTGCAAACCTCACTCAGGGAGAAAGATCTTGGGGTGAGTATAATACCGAGTACGTCGCCAGAAGCACACATTAACCAGATAACTGCTGCAGCATATGGGCGCCTGGCAAACTTGAGAATAGCGTTCCGATACCTCAGTTAAGAATCTTTCAAGACTTTATACACTGTGTACGTCAGGCCCATACTGGAGTATGCAGCACCAGTTTGGAACCCACACCTGGTCAAGCACGTCAAGAAATTAAAGTGCAAAGGTTTGCAACAAGGTTGGTTCTAGAGCTAAGGGGAATGTCCTACGAAGAGAGGTTAAGGGAAATCGGTCTGACGACACTGGAGGACAGGAGAGTCAGGGGAGACATGATAGCGACATACAAAATACTGCGTGGAATGGACAAGGTGGACAGAGACAGGATGTTCCAGAGAGGGGACACAGAAACAAGGGGGTCACAATTGGAAGTTGAAAGCTCAGATGAGTCAAAGGGATTGTTAGGAAGTATTTCTTCAGCCACAGAGTTGTTAGGAAGTGGAATAATCTAGCAAGCGATGTAGTGGAGGCAGGAACCATACATAGTTTTAAGACGAGGTATGATAAGCTCATGGAGCAGGGAGAGGGAGGACCCAGTAGCGGTCAGTGAATAGGCGGGGCCAGGAGCTGTGTCTTGACCCCTGCAACCAGAATTAGGTGAGTAAAATTTGGTGAGTACACACACACACACATACACACAAGAGCTGTGACCAGACCCCTGCAATCTCAATTAGGTTAGTACACAGACACCTGGCCCCGCGAAGAGACGGGGCCAGGAGCTGTGATTGTACCCTTGCAACCACTAATAAATGATTACAAATAGGTGAGTATACACACATACACACACGGGGCCAGGAGCTATGACTCGACCCCTGCAACCACAACTAGGTGAGTACACAAAAGACTGGTTGGTTAGATGGTTAATTAAGCTCAAACTTTCTCTTCTTCAGGAGGACCATTAAGGCTGTATGTCACCTGCTCACCACCAGTGTACAAGGTGTTCTAAAATTATGAACCCAATTTCAAAGCAAACTCTTTTGAAATTGGGTCCATAATTTTAAAACACCCTGAATATACAGTCGAACTTATGCACTCTCAGTGTATACATCGTCAGTGAAATATAAATTTATATGACTATTTACGTGTACCTGTACTTAATAAACTTACTTATTTACTTACTTTACTTTACTTACTTAATGATCTATTAAAAAAGCTTACTTATTCTACTTAATTAATTTGACTCGCTAATATTAAATTCACTTAACTTACCTAACTTTCACTCTCTACTAATTAACTCATCTAACTTACTCCCTTACTATCTTACTTTCTTTACCATAAACACCCATCACACTGGATGGTTTTCCTGGGCAGCTCAATATAACTTAGAGAAAACCACTGGCTCAGAGCGGACACTAAGGAAGATATAATTTACCTCATAGAACTGTCTTCTAGTAAGACTTACAAACTTAGAAGTTACGTTACACTTACTGTATAATAACTTTTTTGTTCCCTACTGTCACTGCTCAGTGATAATTCTAGTGTGATACTGAAGCGATAGTTACGTCTAATAAGTAAGAGGTCAGCATTATGTATTGTATGTATACATAATAATAATAATAATAATAATAATAATAATAATAATAATAATAATATAATAATAATAATAATAATAATAATAATATAATAATAATAATAATAATAATAATAATAACAATAATAATAATAATAATAATAATAATAATAATAATAATAATAATAATAATAATGAATATACATTAATTATATTAATAATAATAATTAATAATCAACACCAATAATAAGATAAGATTTCGTTTGGATTTTTAACCCTGGAGGGTTAGCTACCCAGGATAACCCAAGAAAGTCAGTGCGTCATCGAGGACTGTCTAACTTATTTCCATTGTGGTCCTTCAATCTTGTGTCCCAGGATGCGACCCACACCAGTCGACTAACACCCAGGTACGTACTTGCTGCTAGGTAAACAGGACAACAGGTGTAAGGAAACGTGTCGAAATGTTTCTACCCCGCCGGGAATCGAACCCGGGCCCTCCGTGTGAAACAAGGGCTTTTTCAGCCAATAATAATATGAATAAATAAACAGCAATAATAATTATGATAATAATAATAATAATACAGCAATAATAATAATAATAATAATAATAATAATAATAATAATAATAATAATAATAATAATAATAATAATAAGAATAAGAATAGATAAATAACAACAACAATAAAAACAACAATAACAATAATAATAATAATAATAATAATAATAATAATAATAATAATCCTTACTTGGAATAGTGGAGTCATGTTGCGCGTGTACGAAATATTCCTGCGTCTTAACCCAGATGTTATTCACGTGTTGAAAAACAATGAAAATGTTGCATAGGGAGACCACTGTTCAAGGTAGTGTTCCGGCTGCAACACAGTTCTAGAGTGAACTGAGTGTTTTCTCGTGGTCAGACTGCAACACAGTTCTAGAGTGAACTGAGTGTTTTCTCGTGGTCAGACTGCAACACAGTTCTAGAGTGAACTGAGTGTTTTCTCGTGGCCAGACTGCAACACAGTTCTAGAGTGAACTGAGTGTTTTCTCGTGGCCAGACTGCAACACAGTTCTAGAGTGTACTGAGTGTTTTCTCGTGGTCAGACTGCAACACAGTTCTAGAGTGAACTGAGTGTTTTCTCGTGGTCAGACTGCAACACAGTTCTAGAGTGAACTGAGTGATTTCTCGTGGTCAGACTGCAACACAGTTCTAGAGTGAACTGAGTGTTTTCTCGTGGTCAGACTGCAACGCAGTTCTAGAGTGAACTGAGTGTTTTCTCGTGGTCAGACTACAACACAGTTCTAGAGTGAACTGAGTGTTTTCTCGTGGTCAGACTGCAACGCAGTTCTAGAGTGTACTGAGTATTGTAGTGTCAGCAAGGGTTCAGGGTTAGTAACATCCGCTCAACACATTCATCATTCAACTCTGCAGTTGCCACTTCTGTCTGTTGTATCAACGAGTACTGTGATTCATTTATTGTAACAACGAGTACTGTGATTCATTTATTCTGTTTCATAAAACAGTATAAACATCGAGAGATGTGTGTGTGTTTCCCAGTGTATATACACCGAGATAAACCATACCACGGGCGGGGATAGAACCCGCGGTCAGAGAGTCTCAAAACTCCAGACCGTCGCGACGGTCTGGAGTTTTGAGACTCTCTGATCGCGGGTTCTATCCCCGCCCGTGGTATGGTTTGTTTGCAATCGTGTCATTACGATTTCGTGAGTCAATACACCGAGATGTTTGTAAGAGAGAGAGAGAGAGAGAGAGAGAGAGAGAGAGAGAGAGAGAGAGAGAGATTTTGTTCGGATATTTATCCCAGGAGGGTTAGCTACCCAGGATAACCCAGAAAGTCAGTGCTCGTTAAATCTTGGACAGCAGGTATAAGGAAACATGCCCAATGTTTCCACCCATGCTGGGGATCGAACCACAGACACTGTGTGTATGGGCACACAGAGGTTGGCATCTTTCAGGATATAAACCATACCCCCGGCCGGGATTGAACCCGCGGTCATAGAGTCTCAAAACTCCAGCCCGTCGCGCTAGCCACTAGACCAGCTAGCCACAATAAGATTCATCCAACTAGGTATATTTCTACACCATAGGAAAGTTAGCACAGGCACCTCTGTGACCACAAATGCAAGTTTTTACAGACGAATCTCCAGCTAGCGCGACGGGCTGGAGTTTTGAGACTCTATGACCGCGGGTTCAATCCCGGCCGGGGGTATGGTTTATTTGCAATCGTGTCATTACGATTTCTTAAGTCATGTTCAGGGTATACACAGTGGGAGGTATGTATGTTACGGTGTATATACGCAAAGGTGTGTATCTACCAGTGTATATACACCGCGAGTTAGATTTTAATGTCTACTGTAGGGATTAAAATATTCTGGTATATATGTATGAATGTATGTCATCTAAACCCTTAGTGACTCGTGTAGTCGATAGGCATCAAACCTAAAAAGCTAAACTTGTTGTTTTGACTGATTTATTATTATTATTATTATTATTATTATTATTATTATTATTATTGTTATTATTATTATTATTAATTATTATTATTATTATTATTATTATTATTATTATTATTATATATTATTATTTTTTATTATTATAATTATTATTATTATTATTATTATTATATTATTATTATTATTACCATTATTATTATCATTATTATTAGCTGCATTTCCTTGGATCAAGAGACCTTCACCGACATCAAGGCCCTCAGGACCGTCGAAGAAGCTACGTTGACCTTTGTAACGAAGGACGTTAAAGGTCAACCTTGAATGAGGTAGGCTGTTGCATACAAGTCTTAAAAGAGTGACTCAAGTTGTTGGGCAAAGCGCGACTGGGACAACGTTTTGCCCCATACAGTAGAGCTGTGTCACATTTCGCTCACGTATTGTTCTGTGTAGAGATTTATCAAGTCACGTTTCACCCTGTGTATATGTCATCAAGTTATGTAAGCCGTGTACAGAGCTCCACTAAGCCATGACTTGATCAACCTTCACACTGAACGAATCCTCATCTCTGTAAAAGCTTAACCAGCAACCTGTGTCGCTTCTCCTCATAAAAGATCAACCTTAAAAGCTCTCTGTATCAAGGACGAGGGGGGAAAAATATGATTTTTTTTACGCTAGTAATTACGCAGGAAGCCATGGAACGTTTACACTGGTGCTCCAAATGGGAAAGTTTTGCGTTTAGGGGGAACGTGACGCTACTGTGTCCCGTGGCGTTTTACAAAGTGGGTAGACTCGTCAAACGCGGAATAGGAAATTTATTCACTACTTGTTTATGCACTTTGCAGTGTATAGAGATGGTTTTTTTTATGCATTTCTACATTAAATTTATGCATTTATGCGATAAAAGCCGGATTTGTATTATGTTATCTGTGGGTGTGTGTACTCACCTATTTGAGGTTGCAGGGGTCGATTCATAGTTCCTGGCCTCGCCTCTTCACTGATTGCTACTGGGTCCTCTCTCTCCCTGCTCCATGAGCTTTATCAAACCTCGTCTTAAAACTATGTATGGTTCCTGCCTCCACTACCTCATTTTCTAGGCTAATCCACTTCCTGACAACTGAAGAAATACTTCGTAACGTCCCTTTGACTCATAGAAGTCTTCAACTTCCAACTGTGACCCCTTGTTTCTGTGTCCCATCTCTGGAACATCCTGTCTTTGTTCACTTTGTCAGTTCCTCGCAGTATTTTATATGTCGTTATCATGTCTCCCCTGACCCTCCTGTCCTCCAGTGTCGTCAGACCGATTTCCCTTAACCTCTCTTCGTAGGACATTCCTCTTAGCTCTGGAACTAGTCTCGTTGCGAACGAGACTAGCGCGCGCGAGCGCGCGCGTGTGTGTGTGTGTGTGTGTGTACTCACCTAGTTGTACTCACCTAGTTGAGTTGTGTGTGTGTGTGTGTATGTGTGTGTGTGTGTGTGTGTGTGTGTGTGTGTGTGTGTGTATGTGTGTGTGTGTGTTTGTGTATGTGTGTGTGTGTGTGTGTGTGTGTGTGTGTGTGTGGGGTGTGTGTGTGTGTGTGTGTGTGTGTGAGTGTGTGTGTCTATGTATGTGTGTGTGTGTGTGGTGTGTGTGTGTGTGTGTGTGTGTGTGTGTGTGTGTTGTGTGTGTGTGTGTGTGTGTGTGTGTGTATGTGTGTGTAATTTCATTACGTTCTGATCGACTTGTGACTGGTGTTTCGTGAGATGATGTGCCTCAGACTGATGTTTCGTGATCTGGTAGAACTCTGAGTGGCACTTAATGATCTGATAAGCGTCTGATTGAAAACTTCATGATCTGATCGTTACTTCGTAGTCTGATATACCTCTGATTCCATACACGTCCTGATAAACCAAATGAAAAAAAATAAGCAAACTTAAGCCTCCTTTATCGCCCCGGAATCGGCCGATATTGTAATATTTAAGCTGTGATCTTGCTTTTAATACAGTATTCTCGTGAGCTAAGTATAGCAGAACAGATGTAGGTGTAGAGCAAGCTTTTGTTGTGACAACGTTTCGCTCTGTGTAGCGAGAAACTCGAGGTAAAGCAAACCTTTCCTTATTGGAAGCCAATATTATTTTCAAAGCGATATGATGTGTTCACATCTGGATATTTATTATAGGAAACGTTTCTACACCGACTGACGTTTCGCCAGCCATGAGTGGCGAAACGTTTACGTATAGACCTTCGAGTAAAGGCAAGTGAGTCGTTTTTGTATCTTTCCTTATCTAAATGTTGTTAGCACTGCAGGGAGTCAGGAGACGGCCCCTCTCTGCAGGGCCGAAATTCATGCAAATAACCATTGAAAAGTTAACAGAGTGGCGCTGAACTGAGAGACGGAGTCGCAAAAGCAATTTTGTCGTTAAATCCTGATCAAGGATATTTTTACGCATTTTGTATCCTAGGAAAGCTGTTTTTCTTTTCCGTTTCACTGAATGTTTAATTGAAGGAATCGCTTGTTTCCCGGAGCACAAATGGAGGTCCAGTGGAGGCGAGGATGTTGATGCTCAAAGGATTACTTGAACTGTGATATGAGGACGATTCTTGAAAGAGAGATATTGAATGAATGATGGTGAAGGTGTTTTCTTCTTTGTTGGCTCTATCTTGGTGGGTGATGGTGTATTTTATTTTTTACCTCATCGTTCGTCTCCCACCATGGCAGGGTGGCTCAGAGAACGAAAACACATTGACCAGCATTCGTTCAGTAGCTCTCCTGCCAGAAATGCCCAACAATCACAATTCATCCGATGTATCAAACCACAAAAAAGATTTAGGAATGAGAAAACTCTGACTAACAAAGTAGCTGGAGCTTTACGAGACACTAAAGGTGATCAAACGAAAGTGAGCGAGAATGGTAAGTGTGAGAGCGAGAGTGGGAATATGATTGCATTTTCTTACAGTGCAGGAAGACGGTGGATACGCAGCATCCCAAACACAAACTAGAATAAGCAGAAACAGGTGAGAAAGCTTCTCTCTTTTTTATATATTTAAAGTCTGGCGATTGCACGTAGGTCATTAAAGTTGCATTTTACTTGCACTCACACACACACACACACACACACACACACACACACACACACACACACACACACATAGCCACATCAGGAGGAAGACAACAGTCAAAGACCAGGTGATCAGATTAAGGACAGAAGGTGGAGAACTCACAAGAAATGATCAGGAGGTATGTGAGGAGCTGAACAGGAGATTTAAGGAAGTTTTTACAGTAGAGACAGGAAGGGCTGTGGGAAGACAGCACAGAAGGGAACATCAAGAGGGAATATACCAACAAGTGTTGGATGACATACGAACAACTGAGGAGGAGGTAAAGAAGCTCTTAAGTGACCTTGACACCTCAAAGGCGATGGGACCGGACAACATCTCCCCATGGGTCCTTAGAGAAGGAGCAGAGATGCTGTGCATGCCTCTAACCACAATCTTCAACACATCCCTTGAAACTGGGCAACTACCTAAGAAATGGAAGACAGCTAATGTAGTCCCCATATTTAAGAAAGGAAACAGAAACGAGGCACTAAACTACAGACCTGTGTCTCTGACATGTATTGTGTGTAAAGTCATGGAGAAGATTATCAGGAGGAGAGTGGTCGAACACCTGGAAAGGAACAAGATTATAAATGAAAACCAGCGTGGGTTCATGGAAGGCAAATCTTGTATCACAAACCTCCTGGAGTTTTATGATAAGGTAACAGAAGTAAGACACGAGAGAGAGGGGTGGGTAGATTGCGTTTTCCTAGACTGCAGGAAGGCCTTTGACACAGTTCCCCACAAGAGATTAGTGCAGAAGCTGGAGGATCAGGCGCACGTAAAAGGGAGGGCACTGCAATGGATAAGGGA